ACACCGGGAACCTTGAATCCCGAAGCCAAGCCTTTCGCCTCTGTGATGTCTCCTTCACTGTCCGCGGCGGCCTCCAAGTCCGCGGAGACACCATCTCTTTGAATGACGTGAAAAACCATGCGTGCCTCACTGATGCCACGTTTACGTTCACTGACCAAAAGAATGCTGTCCGCGGCGAGTCCGTGGGCCACCGCCCGACCTCTGATCCTTGGCTTTGCCCGGTGAAGTCCCTCGCACGTGTGGTCTACCACCTCTGTACCAACGGCGCCGACGCCGATACTCCCCTCTTCAACCACTTCAATGCGGCCCGCAACCGGTGGTATCCTGTGAAGCCCCAGTTCATCACCAACGCCCTCTGCCACGCTGCGGCCCTCATCTCCCACGACAGCGGCATCAACCCTGACAAGGTCTCTGCCCGCTCCCTCCGTCCTGGTGGTGCCACAGCCCTTCTCTGCGCCCATGTGGACTCGGATGCCATCCGCCTTCTCGGCCGCTCGAAGTCCGACGCCATGCTCCGCTACCTGCGCATCCAAGCCGCTGCCGCCACCCACCACTACTCCCAACATATGTTGGACCATGGGGCGTACAACTTCCCGGGAGGCACCTACGATCGCCACCTCCTCCCGGCGCAAGCGCCCCAACACTTCAACGAGATTCTTCTCCACGAAGAACTCTACGAGGACTAACCTACCCCTAGTCCTCGGCCCCCTGTCCTCGCCTCCACCTGGACAGGGGGTAACTTATCCCACCCCGCTACGCTCCCTCCCTGTTCTGCCTTTGGCTTTTGGGTTGCATGACTCAAGGCTGTCCCGTGGAACATCACATTCCCGGGACTCCCTCTTGCCGTGTGGGATCCATCCGGGACTCCCCAGTCCTGAATGGTACCCCGGGGACTGGAGACGGTCGGCTCAGTAAATGGCCGAGTCTCTCCACTCACCTAATCCTCTACTAGTCGTGTCTAGCTGCTCGGGGCGAGCGCAGCTTGTCTGCGCTCGGTGTTGAGCAGCAGCACGCCTGGGGAACCCCCCGTCCAAGTTTCCACGCCCCGCAGCATGGAAACTTGAACCCTGATGGGTTCTCGCAACTATGACCCTAATCATGGTTGCCGAGAGGACCATCTCACTATTTGCAAAATTAATTCCCGCGCTCCTCACCTACAACTCAAATACATCTCTACATCTCGCAGGTCATCACATGCGTTCCGGAAATGGATACCCCACATGATGATGCACCGCATCAGCTCCTCAATGCCTCTCGAACAAGATTACCCTTAAGGCAACGACGCCCGTCCAAGACCACATTTGGCAAGATCGACAGCGGCAACCATGAATCACTAAAGCCAGCGACCTAGCCAAGACTAGCCATTGAACTGCCGATCGCAAGAAGGTTGTCTCTCTCTCAGCTCACAATTCTTCATTCAGCCGACGCTGAAGGCAAGAACCTAGATTAGATTAACCCACCTCTCCCTCCCTGGTTGCACGAATCAAGGCTGTCCCGTGGAACATCACATTCCCGGGACTCCCTCTTGCCGTGTGGGATCCATCCGGGACTCCCCAGTCCCGAATGGTACCCCGGGGACTGGAGACGGTCGGCTCAGTAAATGGCCGAGTCTCTCCACTCACCTAATCCTCTACTAGTCTAGCTGCTCGGGGCGAGCGCAGCTTGTCTGCGCTCGTGGGCACGAAGATGATGTGCAAAGAGTCAGGACGAGCGTGCCTTGACATTCGCAGGCGTTCCGCCACCACTTCAGCAGCTGCTGGGGGTGGGACCCAGATGTTTGCACCCAGATGAGTGACCGGCAGAAACCAATCGTTCGGCGTCATGTACCGACGGTTTGTCTTGCTGAGGACGTCGTCGATCCAATTAGCCAATCGAGGGGACCGTTGTAGACATTTCAAATGCAAGGGCACATAAGATAGCATGGGCTTGCCTTGCATCACTCCAGTGTGGTAGTCCCCCGTGGACAGACCATCCGTTCCTTGAGCTATCATGCGTGTGCCGCTGACATGAATAATCCTTAGGAATATGCCGCGACGTAGCTCCAGCAATCTCAGTCTGAGAACTAACTTCATCAGCTTCTTGCTTTTGGACATTCCTTTCCAGAAAGCCGCTTCGGTGGTGGAGTTGTCTGTGAAAATGAACACCTCTGAATGGTCTATCACTCCCTCTCGTGCCTTGCCTTCAAGAAATACCACCAGATTGTTCAGCTCACGCCAGTTCGACGACTCCTCTCTGGTTGCAGCTTTGAACCACTGGCCGAACTCAAAGTCGATAGCCGTAGACCCCTTTTCGTTGAGAGTAGCTCCAAAGCCCGTCCCAGACGCATCGCCGAAGCCATAGAAAACAGTCGCCGTCTTGGAGGGCCGAGTCTGACGCAATGGGGCCTTCTTGCCTTCACACAAAGCGATGAGAGCCAGCATGTCGACCCGAAGCCGAGGAGCAGCTTTTACCATTTTGGGCGCCACTGGGTAGTCTTCAGGAGGTGGCTTAGACAAAGAATCCTTGCGCCACCCTCGCTGATCCCGATCCAGACGCCAACCGTCTATCGTGAGGTGGAGGCCAGTAAGATAGGGGACCAGGGTGGTGTACGTTTGTGAGACGTAGCTGATGAACCCCCTTATGCGCATGAGTTCTCGAATGTCTAGTGCTTCTGGCGAGTCTTGAACCATGGCCGCGAGCTCTGCCAGCTGGTCCTGTGTCTTGGCCCACTTGTCGTCGCTGACCAACTTGAAAACTCTGTGGCGAGTTCGAATCACCGTACCAGCCCAATCACCGGGGTCTTGTCTACTGTCTCGCCTTTTTCTGGCGGCATCCTGTATTCCCAAATGATTTAGAGTTCTGGCGGCTCTCCGGCCCGCCTTCCACGCTTCCTTGCTCGTGGATCCCGTAGGTCTGAGGTCGTCCACAAACATGAAGAGATCCGCAGCGATTCTATCGCCGGACGAATCGTCCTTTGGGCGAACCTTTGAGACCCAAGGAAGGTGTGGCACGTAGGACTCCATTCCTGGTAGATTCAATCGAACACGGGACCAGTAAAAGACGTTGGAGGGATCCGAAACATCTCCACGGATAAGCTCATCAGCGAAGTGCATGCACAGGCATGCTTGGTAGGGAGACCAAGTGAGACCCATAGCGATTCGATTCCATGCTAGCAAAACCTTGCCCGTTGCCGCGGCTTTGAAACCCTCAACCGGAGCTAGGTTAATGCTGTACAGAGTCAAGTCCACACCACAATATTTTCGCAGCGATGGGTGCATCATGAAGTTTAGAAACATCTCGCCGATATCGACATCGCACATGAAGGTCCCTTCTTCGACAGCTCTCAAATGAGTTTCTAGGTCCCATCGTAAACCATTTGGATGTCATCGTCTCCTTTGGCGACATGAAAGTACGACATGAGAGACACCACGTCCTGATTGGATGCAATGTACCCCCTGTCCACCACCTTTTGCAACTTCTCCTCAACCAACCGACTTGCGGTGGGGTCTCGGTCCTTTTGCTGGAATTCCCAGTAGCTTGGGGCCTCTTGAATGAAGTGAACAAGCATCCCATCGTGCAACAAGTCTCGAGCTTCTTCCTGCCAATGCCAGAAGAAAGGTCGAGAGCCATGCGTCCATTCCCACCAAGATGACAGTGCAGCCCTCCGTAGAGCAGCAAATCGAGCCTCCTTTCGGTGGCCAGTTTTCCGCTGCCGTAAACTGAAGAGTGCCACCGGATGTATGCCTTGCGTCCCTTATTGCTCCATCGGTACACAGCCACCTGACGGGCTTGTTGGATCAGACGGTTGGAACCGTCAGGAAGTTTGGCACCCGTTGGGTCCTTGATGGTTCGAGAATATTTCCTCACCGCCGTGGAGCAGATCCCTTTGGCTGTTGACTTGGGAGTATTGTGTTGCTCACGGTACCAGTTGGCGAAATCCCGAGTAAGATGGCGCTTCCACCATCGAAGAGCTCTCGGTTGCAAGAAATTGAGGATGATGGCAACTGCTTGCGCCTCTCTGGGACCGTTGCTCCAGTGTGAAGGCCCGTCAGCTAGGCAATGCTGAATCCAGAGATGTTCCGGAACGGCCGCTGAATCGCTCTTGACCGCTTTGTGTTCCCGAGCGTCTCTCTTCATGTCCTCCTGAGAGAAAAGCACAGCTTCAGGGACCATAGACGACTGGTCCAAGCTGGGGAGCTTGTTGGGGTCGAACTCGTCATCAGAGTCATAAGATAAATCGTCACCATAGGATAACACAGTGTACATGGACAACTCATCGTCCATGAGGTAAGTTCCAGTGGTGGCGTCGTCCTCCGGTAACTGCTCTGCTTGTGGACCTCCTGACTTATCCCACTTGGTTTCAAGCGCAGCATCAGGTGAATTAGAATCAAGCGCGACCTCTGGCGAAGAAAGACCAGAGGACGCAGCGTAACACGCCCTGAGAGCGGCTAAAGGAGTGAACCCACGAGGGAGAGTCATAGAGGAGCCGAAAGGATGCTCCTGAGTCTCACCAATGTCATACGCCTGAGTCATCTCCAGAGATGTGAGTGGCCGTACGCCCCAGAAACCTCGGCGGACATACTTGGCAGGGGTCACCACCCATGTGTCCAGTGTCGGACGAGAAGGGAGAAGTCCAAGACCATGATACACCACATTGGGTTGGGGCTCCGGAGCTAGAAAAAGGGCGGAAAGCGCGGGAAACTTTGTTAGTACTGATAATTTGTATAGTAAACTCATGCCCACCCGGGCGACATTTGTCTCACTTTTTTCGAGTTTATGGAGTGAAGTTTAGATGTGAACGCCGTTGTGGATCGAGGCAAACCATTTGAAAAGGTAGCTCCACCCCCATCAATACCCATGGAGTCGACCAGAGTCAAATGCAACATCATCACCAAACTGTATCCAACTCTGCACACGCATCCACACAGGTATCCCCGAGCCTATTCTCGAACTGGATACAAAACGAGCAACATTTTGTTAGGGCTTGACGACAGTAGCATAGCAGCATACCGGTAGCAACAATGCCTCGGACGCAGAAGGACTTCGAGATCGAGGAGGCCCTCATTCCCATGCTCAAGCGGAATGCCAGATATCATGGCCTATTCATCCCTATCAAGTATTGGACTCAACGTGTGAATCGCAAGCTGGAAATGACATTGGGGGATGGAACTCTGAAGAAGACAATGTTGGAGACGAAGTGCAATATCATCAACCGGGAATTTGATGCCTGTGAGGAAGACAGAGCCAAGTACGCACCTCTCACCATGATCAAGCTTGAGCATAGAAAGGTCTCACAGAGGAGACAGTCAATTAACAGACTCGCTGATGGAAGGAAGAAGGTCTACTTCATTTGCGTGGAATCAAAGACACAGAAAGAGCCGAAACCAGATCCGAAGAATCCGCCAACCGAAGCGCAGCGAACCGAATACTTCCAGAGGCAATACAATGCATTGGCCAACCTGGCAGACAGTGAGATGAGGAAGCATGAGTCTAGAGAGACCCAGGAAGAACAAGAACAACAACAACAGCCCAATGCACTGACCATAGCAGCCGCGGAGGCAACAGAGACCCAACAACAACAACAGCCAAGGGCTGTGACTCCAACCAACTTGGATGAGCAACCAACTGCAACCGAACCGAGACAGGAGGAGGCGATAACCGATCCTTTCTTGAAGCTTTTTGATGGCATTGTGGAGCCGGCAATGATTCATGCTCTCCAAGACAATGAGGAAGGTGTAGCCCTTTTGAAAGATAGAATGGAACAACACTTCTTTGAGACACATAAAGAAAAGCTAGCAAAGCACTATGCGCCGTTTAAGGCGCCTGTAAAATACAAACAAAAAGACATACTTACTCTCAATCCAAAAGAATATCCAGAACTTAATCGACTTGGGATTCCCATGTCTGTTCCTGCCCTCCGTGATGTCTGCTTAGGTCTGATAAGAGTGTCGAAGGACGTTCCTGAAGTTATGGAACTGAATAGATCAGGTCGAAGTGAGAGCAAGATGCTAAACTTTTGGCTGACTCCATCCTCAACGATGAAGAGGCTGTATGAAAACGTGAAGAGTTTCTTACCAGCAGCATTGGAAGCATCGATGACTGAAAAGGCAGTGGCGACAGGGAAGCTCACAATCTCCGATGCAAAGAGAGTCTTCATCAGAGTACTCGCTGCATTGGATGCACAGGTATTCGAAGAAGTAGCCAAAAGGAAGCTGAAATCAAAGCGGCCCAAAATGGAGCCTCATCGTCAGAAGGCAATGTTGCTTGATGCCAGTCTATCGAAGCACCAGTTCGAGCTAGTTCGAATGTACACCATTGTGGCAATCGGATACAATCCCTTCCAACCAGTTGCGATGATCAAAGCTCTTGATGTTGAAGTCTTCCAGCCTACTCATCTGACATTCAAAGAGGGCAAACGAAAAAAGATGAGCCATTATAGGCCAGTTGATAAAGTGTTCAAGTGGTCATTGGACAGGTCAATGAAGAGACTTACCGAGGCAGGAGATCTCCAAAGGATTGAAGTGTGCCACATTGTCTTTGGTGCCGACCATGGCCAAGGGGCATTCCGTGCCGTGGCGACGATTCTCCTCTTGTCCAAAGGTAACGTCCACAAGTACAATCTTGCGCTGGAAAAAGACTTTCTTTGTGGGTTCATAGAATGCAAGAAGGATACATATGAAGTAATCACGCAGTCCCTTGCAAAGCCACTCAATGAGTCGCTCAAGCGAGCTGGACCGGACATTGTCTTCTGCCAAGACGAAGACCACAATCGCTTCGTCGAATTTGGAAGAAGGGATGAGATCAGCCAACGAGAAGGCATCATTGTCTTGCATGCAGTCGATGTCGAGAGCTTCTTGGTTGGAGATCTCAAGTTTGGCGGGTGTTCCCAAGGCAGAGACGGCTACAGCACCTACTGGTGTCTGAGGTGTATGCTTGGAAAGGCTGAATGGACTAACAGCCCCAACTGCCTCGAGTGCGGCCAACCTTGGACTTGGCAAGCCATGGCCGACCAAAGAAAGAAAGCTCAACAGATCGTAAAGGACAAGAAGAGGCAGCCAAAATCAGCAGAGGTTCGAGGTTGTGTGCAGCCACCAATCTTTGATGCCATTCCCGTGAAGAACTACCTCACTCCAGTGTTGCACAACGTGGATCTCTTCACCAATACAATCAAGCAAATGATTGATGGCTATGTCGACCACAGACTTGAGAACCGACCGATGGAGTTCCTGCAAGCGAGGTGGGAAGAGGCAGATACAATAATCGATGAGAGGCAAGCTGAAGCCGATCTGGAGTGTGCCAAAGACATTATGGACGCATCCAAAGAGTTCGAAAATGCCGCTTTGCTTACCGAAGCCAAGGAAACCTTCAAAGCGGCCGAAGAGCAGCTGCAGAAAGCCAAAGCTGCAAGGAGGGAAGCAGCTGCCGAAATGAGGAGGCTCGAAAAAGATTCGGAATACGGTGCCCTCAGCCAGGAGATTCGACAAAGCCTCGATGAAGAAATGGCCAATCTTTTCAACATCCACCGGTCGAGCTGGCATGGTGGAGCCATGGTAGGCAATTACTGCAGGAAGATGTTGCATGGTGCAGATCAGGTGATGGACTCCATCGTGGAATTGCTCCAACAGATTCCACAAGACAAGAGAGCCAGAGGTTGTGACGATGCCGAGATTCAAAAGTATTGCAATGGGTTCAAGCGGATCCTCCAATACATGGGCATACTCTCACACTACTCCTACCAACCGTATGGGACAATCACAGACAGTGAGATGGCTTCGATTCGAGATGTCTTGGTGCCACGGTTAGTGCGTCTTTTCAGAAAGATGTCAAGGACGCTTCCTCCCAAAATCCACATGCTTGCACACCTAGTCGAAGATCTGGAGCGCTTCAGAGGAATGAAGTTTCACCACGAGTCGAAGATAGAGGTTGCTCATCAGATTGGAAAGAGGATAGATTACAGGTTCCGATCAATGGCAGCCACGAAGGACAAGAGAATGCATGCCGAAATGAAATTCGAAGCCAACCTGACAGATGACGCCGTCAAAGCCACGCAGAAGGATATCAAGAAGAAGAGAGCCCGAAACTATTCGGAGAAAACAAAAGCAAAGAAGGAGTTAGCAGATCAAAGGAAGAAGCAACAAAAGGTGACATCCATCGAAGACATCCTTGGACTCCCGGAAATCAAAGATGAGTTTCCCTCGGTACTGGAACTGACCATTGTCGACCGTGTGCATGCCAGAGAAGAGGAGAAGGAGCGCAGATCTAGAGAGGGTTGGTAGGAGGCGACGGCTTGATAGTGTCATTGCCATGGTCGATTGGTTTGGTTTGGTTTGGTTTGGTCGATATGCATGGATGGGTTCCACGGTTGAAAATATAGTGCATTGGTGCGTGCTAGCCTTGCTTTTTGGTCGAAAGCAAGTCGAAGCTTCGAAGCTTCAACAAATTTCGAAGCAATTTCCGTTGAGATCGGAGGCACGATTCGAGCTATAGATTTAAAGGACATCATTAAAAGCCTTATTATACGGTAGTCAAAGTATCCTTTCGAAATTTCGAACTCGCTATAAAGATTCGGAACCTCGATCCTTCATCGAACACAAAGAGACGATTTGGCAAGGCACTCTTTGAAAGATTGGCAATGTATCAACACTTTCATTCTGTATATCTTTACTCAATTGGAGATGGGATTCGTATTGCTTGAATAAGGGCCAACAATTGGAGACGCATGCAATCGATGCTCACTTTATGCTTGATTATGGCCAAACCAATCGGAGACGCATGCAATCGATGCTTACTTTACGGCTTGATTATGGCCAAACCAATCGGAGAACCATTCAATCGTACTTTCCTCTTCCGTCTTTAGAGGCAAAGACTTGATAGAATCACGGGAATGCGCAACAAAGTATTGGTAGCACACGGGTATCGACGCGACTCAAAGATTTGCTCGAAGCTTCGAAGCTTCGACACTTCGAGGCTCGAATCGAAGCTTCAGTTTGACTCACAATTTCGACAATCAGCCTCTCTAGAAGAAACTCTGCCGAAATTTACCATGAACAACAGCAACTCTCCTCTTCGCGTCTTTGATCTTTCGGCTCTATCTCTTTATCCCATTGATTCCACCATGGCCGACTCCAAACCTTCCGCCAAGAAGACCGACTCCAAACCTTCCGCCAAGACCGACTCCAATGCTTCCACCAAGACCGTCGCCTCTACCAAGACCGATGACTCTGTCGACCTCGCCAGCGTGACTTGTCTCGATGCCTTGGATCCCTCGATTGCTGATGGCTTCTGCGGTCTGGAAACAGTCTTGGTTCCTAACTGTACGAAGATTCAAGTCTACGTCGATGCTCGCAACAAGATCATCGAGTACCACTACGGACGTTACCAAAGTGCCGTGGACCACTTCGTGTCCATCTTCATCATCCAACTCTCGTTCCAGGACTATTGGGACTTCCTCTTCAACGCATTCATCTTTCTTGGGCCTGACGCCTTGGAGGAAGGGTTACCCCGCGAGGTCGTTCCATGGAGACTGCTTCCAAGCGAGATTCCGGGTGTAGATCCCATCTATTTGCAAGGCACGCACATGCACTACACTGCCATTCAAGGCCAGGCGCTTCGCATTGCTGATGAGCACATTAGCACATGCCCTGCACCCATCACCATGTCCATCTTTGACAGTGACGGCAACCCATACCATCCTCCGAACACGGTTCCTTTTTCGGTCGAGAAAGTGATCTTGGAATGCCTCGTTGACGACAAGGGGCCGCACTCACTGGGAATGAAAAACTCTGCAGAAACGCCCTTTTTGAGTCCGCAGAAACACTTTTTTTCCTGAAGCAGGCTGGCGTGCACTCTGCAGAAGCCCTCGAACTCTGCAGTTCCGAAAGCCGGCATGGCTTTTTCTGCCAGGAGGTGTTTTTTTCTGCCGGGAGGTGTTTTTTTTCTGCCGGGAGGGTGTTTGTCACCCCCTCAGTACCATCTGTTCTATGATGATTGGTTTGAAACAGTTTACTCTTCAGAAGATAACCACCTCTAGAGTGGACCAACATGTGCATCTTCCAACGCTTCGAACCCTTTTTGATGAGGACACTCCACCTCCCTTAGCAGACGAGTGGCTTACTCCAGAGGAAAAGGCCATCAACCAGCATCGATCTCATCTTCAGAAGCTTCGACATGGAGAAAATTATGGCAGGATTGACAAGAGCAAGATAAAAGGGATGATCTCATTTTCAAGCTCCTCTCCAGCACAGCCCCAGGTTTCACACAGGGAGATTCCAGATCGTCTGCCACCACTTCAGACTCAAAATCTACCCTCTTCTTGGGACAGGGAGCCTCCCACCATCAGCACTCCCACCACTGATGTCCACATCGAGCCAATCTCTGCCCCTCGTCGTAATCCCAGTAGAACAGCCCACAGCAAGAAGCCTGAGACTCTGAACATGGACCCAAAGTTGAAGACATATGCGCGTCCTTCATCCCTGTTGAGTTGTGCTTTAGCTTTGACCTTTGGAGTTTACTCCAATTTCTGGCACATGATGCAATCTCAGGTGAATGTTATTCACCTTTGACCAACACCCAGGAATCTTCATCCTGGCATTCTTCAAGCCCACTGGCTCTCAAGCCAAAATTTCCAAGACCCTGATCTCCCCTCTCTGAAGGAATCTCTGATGGGACACCAATGCAGACCATTTCTGGGCAGCAATGACAAAGAAATTGCCAGCCTTGAAGGCAAAGGGACTTGGCACATCGTACAGCGTTTCTTCTATGCCCTCACACCTAAAGCGGTTCCTGGAACATGGGTGCCACGAATTAAGAGGTTACCAGACGACAATTAAATAAGTTCAAATCTAGATGGTGCTGCAGAGGAGACCTTCAGTCCTATGAAGGGTCGCTACTCTCCACTTGTTGGTTGGCCCACCGTTAGAGCCGGTCTTCTTCTTCAGCTGCACATGGATGGGAATCGAGGCAAGTTATTTTACTCTTTCTTTCTGCAAGCCCTCAACCTGTCACCAGCCACTGTACATGGAATTGCCTCAGTACTATCGACCCAAAGGATATGAAGGACAGGACTGTGTTTTGAAACTTGAAAAGTCCATCTATGGGCAACGATTCACCTAAATTATTATGAGCATCTATGTCGCGGGATGTTCAACTTGGTTTCGAAACCCGGCAGCAGACCATGTTTGTTTATTCATAAGGAGCATCAACTCATGGTATTAAATTATTGTGATGACCAAATCTGGCTCATCCAGACAATGATCTGATTGAGTCCTATGTTGGGCAGCTCCGAAACTTGGATATGACCTCACATGGAAGAAAAAGGTGACATCTTTGGATTCCTCGGCATTAATTTTGAAAGACAGGGAGACATGTTGAGCTTACTCAAAAGGGCTCATCAATAAATCATCAATATACTGGTATGTCTGACGCTAGCAAGAAGCTTTCTCCTGCCGCCACCGATCCTCCCGGAGCTGACAAACTGGGGGCCCCATTTGAAGAAGAGTGGAGCTTCCAGCTGCATTGGGATGCTTCTTTATATTGCGTCGAACACTCGCCCAGACATCACATTTAGTGTGCACCAGGTGGCACGATTCAGTCACAATCCCAGCATTCCATGCTCAAGCAATCAAACGTATCATTGGTATCTGATTGGCACAAGTGACAAAGGGATTTGTTTTAGCCCTAAACTTATCAGGGACTTGATGTTGGGTCGTTGCTGACTTCGCCGGATGTATGGATATGAGGATGAAGGATCCGGTTCCGTCAAGTCTCGCACTGGATTGTCCTGACTCTTTTTGGGTGCCCTATTATCTGGTCCAGCAAGCTACAGACTGATATTACTTTGAGCTCACTGCTGCCGAGTATGTTGCCTTCAGCATGTCAATGAGGGAGCTGCTTCCTATGCGAGCTTTGCTCAAAGAAATTGTAGCAAACTGAATATGCCGGTAATTACTGACAGTCTCGTGCGCTCTACAGTGTCGAAGACAACCAAGGTTGCCTTCTCTTGTGAATGTTCCCAAAATGTCTGCGCGCAAAAAGTATTTGGCATTGAAGTACCACTTCTTCAGGTCCAATATCGGGGAGTCGAAGGGCATCGTGGCTAAGTATATTCCGACTCTGAACAACGGGCCGACATTTTCACTAAGGGTCTTCCGGCTCCACAGTTGCTGTCATTCGGAAGCTCCTCATGGGGTGTAATTTACCTCAGCACTTTGCTGGGGACTCTCTCCTATCGTTTCTTGCTCCAGCTCTATTTCAGCTGTAAGGGAGTGCGAGGGATACAGCTTACAATTCAGCTTTACAGCTTTACAATTGCAGGCTTATTCTAGACAATAATCAATAACTGCTCACTTATTTGGAAATACAAACTTTTACATCTCTTAGATCCCTAGATAATCAATGCACAATGGTATGTCGCAGAGGGACTTGAATGAGGGATAAAGAGGAAAAGGGAGTGTGTTTCCGTGATGACTTGAGCGATTCCTTATAGTAAAACAGTACTCTTCAACAAGATAACAGAAAACAGGCTTCCTGAGGTCCTTTCGCCTTCGTTTCAATGCTTCTAATGGTGCTAATAGGTAGTGTAATGGTATAGGTATGACCGATTGGTTGTGTTTGTTGCTATTAGTGTTGTTGTTCTTGTAGTGACAGATTCAGAGGGGAAGCTCCGCGGTGCTTCGGCTTCCCGTGAAAAAGTAAAAACCAATCGGAGACGCATGCAATCGATGCTTACTTTACGGCTTGATTATGGCCAAACCAATCGGAGAACCATTCAATCGTACTTTCCTCTTCCGTCTTTAGAGGCAAAGACTTGATAGAATCACGGGAATGCGCAACAAAGTATTGGTAGCACACGGGTATCGACGCGACTCAAAATTTGCTCGAAGCTTCGAAGCTTCGACACTTCGACTCGAATCGAACTTCAGTTTGACTGGGCTCACAATTCGACAATACAGCCTCTCTAGAAGAAACTCTGCGAAATTTACCATGACAACCTTCCTCTTCGCATCTTTGATCTTTCGGCTCTATCTCTTTATCCGGTTGATTCGACCATGGCCGACTCCAAACCTTCCGCCAATTGAAAGACCGACTCCAAACCTTCCGCCAAGACCGACTCCAATGCTTCCACCAAGACCGTCGCCTCTACCAAAACCGATGACTCTGCCGACCTCGCCAGCGTGACTTGTCTCGATGCCTTGGATCCCTCGATTGCTGTGGCTTCTCGGTCTGGAAACAGTCTTGGTTCCTAACTGCACGAAGATTCAAGTCTACGTCGACGCTCGCAACAAGATCATCGAGTACCACTACGGACGTTACCAGAATGCCGTGGACCACTTCGTGTCCATCTTCCTCATCCAACTCTCGTTCCAGGACTATTTGGACTTCCTCTTCAACGCATTCATGTTTCTTGGCCTGACGCCTTGGAGGAAGGGTTACCCCGCGAGGTCTTCCATGGAGACTGCTTCCAGCGAGATTCCGGGCGTAGATCCCATCTATTTGCAAGGCAAGCACATGCACTACACTGCCATTCAAGGCCAGGCGCTGCGCATTGCTGATGAGAATTAGCACAGCCCTGACCCATCACCATGTCCATCTTTGACAGTGACGGCAACCCATACCATCCTCCGAACACGGTTCCTTTTTCGGTCGAGAAAGAATCTTGGAATGCCTCGTTGCCGACACGGGGCCGACTCTCGCTACTTCTACCCAAGGAACGGCAAGGGCGGTGTATTCCGATTGGAACCTTTGCCATTTTGCACGCCCTCTAAGATGAAGCCACTCAAGTTGACGAGGAGGAAGAACCTGGTCACTATGGCTATGGCAACGTGTGCTTGATGGGGCCGATTCGCAACACGAAGTTGTTGCACCATGCCCCCGCCAAGAGGCTCAGGAAGGCCAAGACTGAGAGGGCAAACAAGATCAAGAAGCTTTCGAAGAAGGACAAGACCTTTTGTTTCATGGGGCCCATTGTCAACAACAAGAAACAAAGTCAACAAGAAACGCAAGTGGCGGCTGCCATGGAAGAAGAGACAGTGTCAACAACGCCGACTAGAAGCCTTGTCATTATTTTAGCTTCACTCTAAGACGACAGTGTCAACAACCACCAAAAAAAAACAACAACAAAAAACAACCAAAAAAAAAAAAAGAAAACAACAAAAAAAAAGA